TATATATATATATATATATGTGTGTGTATATATGTATATATTATATATATGTACGCTGCTCGAAATTTCGACAATTTCCTGAAACCAAATGTAATTCCTCCGGAATCTATGTAATACGCGAATTCCATTCTGTACCAAGGAGCATTTTTCCTGGGAATGAAATTACTCGGAGAAAAATAATGAACTCGAGTGGGCATTTCGGAAATTCTCATTTCTTTCGTTTCGTCGCAAAAGATGTTTTGTAATATCATTGAACAACGTACAATCGTGCAAACACTTAATACTATATTAATATAATGTTTTTTTATACGATTATGGCGAAAGTGAACATTCAGATCTTTCTTCCGTTTTTGTTATAATTACGTTGTTTTGCTGATAAGAGAGGAATAATTATGAGACAAGGTTCTATACAAAGCACGTGATGAAGTTTAAATGATCGTAATTTAAATAAATTAATGAGAAAAGCTATTTAGTTATAGGAGAATGACAAGTTTGCGTGATAAAATACAGTGACGCATGGCGTATCGCAAAACACATCATCGAGATTAGAAATAAAAATGACTTGGTCAAACTCGCCAGGAGTAAATCGATTTGCCGGACGATGCAGAGTGCAGGGCAACGAGCGCGCGAGCGAATGACGAGAACGGTTGACCGGTCAAAATTTAGCCGCGAGATGCAGAATATACCGCTCCCGCGCGCCGCTCTCTCCCACTTGCGGCTCCGCGGAAGCGATACGACTTATGAATGGGAGTAGTACTCGCCCATTGGTTGCGCCCGATAACCAATGGCTGTCGCTCGCGCTCGCAACCGCGCGCGGCGAGTAAAGTGAAATGATCGTCTATGTGCGTACTCTATGTATGTACCGCCGATATTCCCGACACAGCGAGCGACGACGGGAAGATCGAGACGAGATACCGAAGTAAATCAACCGGATCCTATTAATATCGCGCCGTGCTACTGACTCTTCTGGAAAAATTATTAATCGTGCGAAATCGCTTTAAATCGTAACTCAACTCTGAGACCTTTACGTGCCTGGGAAACGCAGAATGCTCACGTATTATAGCTATTGTTATCTATTTGCTGTTTTATGTAATTGCAATTGCGTAACAAAAAAAAATACTATCACGATCTTGCTATTTTTCAGTTGCAAAAATTTTGTCAAAGCGAGGATTTTTCGCGAGTCGAAAGAGATTCATGCTTGTCGTGAAATCGAACAACTTCAAGAAAGATTCACGAAAGGCACAAAGATTCGACTTGAGGCAAAATGGTAATTTTGATTACTCCAGGGCGACGATTATGTCGCTTAACGACAAGAGGGTGGCGAGAAGAATCGCGAGCGTGAGGTCGCGCAGTGAGGTCGATGCAAATCGGTTCGCGAACCGATTGGTGCAGGATGCGCGCGATAGCAGGAGGTAGGGCAGGTCGCGCAGGCAAACAAAACGCAAGTGTCGTACGGCAAATACCAAACAGCAATTATCGGCTAACTTATGGAAAGTATAGGGAACGAACACGCGCGGCAACGGCTCTTATGACAGGGAAGTGAGCGAGGTTTCTATCCTGGGTACGTCAAGGTGACACAGCGGGGATGACACCATGCCCGGGATGACGGAGACAAGAACGCGCTAATATTATCTAGCGTTGCATTACATCGCGCTGCTTTGTAAGCGACCGCCTCGCGCGCGTGCAAGCGAGCGAGTTGCGTTTACGCGCATTTATGGTCTGGCGTCATCTATCAATTAGCCGCCTCATAGCCGTTTGTATCTCACCGCTATCTCGCGCGATTGTGACTCAATTATAAGCGGTAGTACACGAGTTACGTCTCGTATTTCCATCTAAGCTCGTGAATCATTCAAGACGTTTAGACGGTAAGAATGCGACTCGCGGAATTGTCGCATGAAGTCCGACTATACGGGCACAATTATTGCGAACATGATTATTATAATTCATAATTCGTTTATTTTATTCGTACATTTAGCAAAATTCCAACTTTTATCAATTTTACTCATATATTTCAAAATACAATTTATGTATACATACGCGCGCATGTACGTATAGTATTCTATAGCAGATATAAATTCCAACTAAATTTCAACCCCACACGTCACCGTATTTAGTTTTCTCTTGCATCGGTGAAGATTTAGTGTTTCCAGGAATCTGTTCGGTTGCTTCTTTTGGTTCGTAGCTCTCACTTGGAGGCTCTCGTGTTCTAGGAGTGTACCATTGCTTATTTTTCTTATAGAATTCATCTCTATTTTGACGCCTCAATTCGTCGTAATTGACGCCTTTTTGCAAATTCATCGGTTCACTCAAATCCGTGTCCTTGGAAACTGACAAGTCGCCTTTAAATGTAATTTGTGCAATTATTATTATTATTATTACATAGTAGTAGATTGATAATTTTTATAACTTACTGTCGTAATTCAGGCTAGAATATGTATCATATGTGTTCATTGATGGATAGTCATTAAACACTATTCCTGTAGACTCTTGTGATGCTGTAGATTCTTCTGAACTCTGAATCTCAGATTGTACAACTAATGGTCGAAAGCCTTCAGGCTGCATCCGACTGCAAACAAATCATAATTGAATAAGACCATGCTTCAGCAAAAGATGAAGTTGAAGATGAACAAACAGAATATTGAATTATCCAAAAATACCTCGCAAAACTATCATAACCTGCTTCTCTCAATCTCTCTATAAGATTACTGTTTGGCATGGATGCGACTTTTCTTAAACACATCTCGGCAATAGCTAATCTAGCCAGTAACATGCTTACTACACCTGTTCCCATAGTACATATTGCAGTAATTGTGGTATTCCCGCGAAATGGAGATAATCTGATAACTCCATATCCGGCGGCTGCACCGAGAAGTGTCGGAACAAGTACACTCGACCTTTTCATGCATGCTTGCATCACCATTGTCTCTTCTGGTGTTAACGTTACTTGCTATAATTTGTGTAATTACAACAAATTTGAAACATTTGTAAAACAATTTAATAGAACGTATGTTGAGCAATTGCTATTAGTAATTACTTTGTTTCTTCTATTTTTGATGATCGATAAATATATTGTTATACTTATCTCTCGATTCTAATAAACATGATACATTAAGCAAGACAACTTGCAGTCTAACCTGTCGTGTTGGTTGTCGTTGAGTCTGCGCGTAATTAGGTTGCTGTACATCTGTTACGGTAGTTGTCATGTTTTACAAAGTATCCGAACAATATTTCACTCACATTGAACTCGCAACTTTTGTTGTAAACTTAAATATTAAGTACAAAAATGATGATATACGTACAGTACACCGATTACCTCATATGTCGAAACATAAAGTTATAGATAAATATATATAAAATGGAGGTGTTGATGCCATCTACGATTTCAATAACTTACTAACTGAACACATGACTTGATGTCCGAAAAGATTTCTTCTTTAGCCGTTTTTGATAAAAATTAATAAAATAAAGTTCATTAAAATGGCAGTACATTTTGATGTTCGATTTAGCGCTAAATCTCATGATTTTATTTTTGTATTATTTATTATTTATCTATTACATATATTTTTTTTAATTATTATATTAATTTGCAATAAAAGTCTAATTAAATTTATATCCCAGCAAACGAGAAATAATTGGAAAATATTGAAAATTATTTATTGAAGCGATGTCGAATGAAGTTTTTGGATTTTTTTGAATCTATTTTCTATCCGTAATCCATTTGAATCACTAATTACAGATTGGCTATTTGCTTTTTGTATCTCATCCAATGTGTATAGAAATGAAACGAGCGGCCAATTCATTTGAATCCGTAAATATAGATTAGCTTTTTGTATCTTACCTAATGAATATCAAAATGAAACTTGCTGCCAGTCCGTTTCAATTCGTAATTGTAAATTGGCCATTGCTTTTATTATCCACTCGAGTTCACGAGTTTTGTATATAATTACAGGCATAGAGAATGGATTCATATTTTCATTTTTGAATCCATCAGAATCCACATTATTGTAATTAGACGTATATAAAACGGATTCAGTGTGTTCAGTGTCTATAAAATTAAATATCTTTTTCATAGATTCGGAAACTTGATTTATAGAGATTTATTCAATCCAATTTGTTCTAGTTTGCTGGAATGTGATTCTCGAAAAAGAAATCATTTTTTATCAATCTCGAAAGGAATACATAAATGCTTTATCCTTTTAGCCGATGTTTCTTCTCAATGATTCTTTTTGAACGTGTATACACGTGTACACGTGTTGATTATTACCTGATAAAATATCTTATGTATAAAATATCTTTGATCACTGATCTTGACGTATTGATAAAACAGCGGCTGAGATATCAAATAGTATTTTAGAAAATAACACACCGGTACCCGAATGACGTGATTTATTTACGCAACCACGCTAATTGAATTATCACATTTAAGACGGCAATATGCAAAGACAAAATCGCAGTCTTAATATCATTTTGAAAAATTTAACTCTTGTAATACAATTTTAAATGTATTTACTATATACAAAAATAAAATATGTAAGCTACTTTCTACGAAAATTTCAAGAATTATTTATAAACGTATCGATTGGCATCAGCCGAATCATCGCGAAAAATATATGTTTCACGATAATATGTGAATGCAATTGAAATTTCTGCGGAAACCTTGAACGAGTTATCAGTATGGCATTTCCATTAACAAGCTAGTTTTAAGAAAATAACGGGAGCGCTTTGTAGTTTTTGTAAACATCGGCGCATAATTTAGACGCGTAATATTCTCTTCCCTGAAATTGAAAAGTTTAATTAATTATTTTATTACGATTCTCGTACAAAAGATTAAATTTCTCTTAAAATAATTTTCTAATAATTTTAATATTTACGATTTTTGCTAAATGTGTTCGAGTTCTTGTCGAAGTCTTACAATAACAACACAGTCATAGTTGCGTCGTTCGTGCGCAATCAGACGAGGAAATTTTCCGCTGCCACTTATGAACCGATTGAGAATACGTAATGCAAAAGTATCTACGTATAAGACATGATGGTGTTAACAAGGGACAGATGTCCGCCGCTATAAAAGTCGCAGTCGAATCGTCCCAAGTCTCGTCGTTTTAAAATGTCACGCACCGCCTCACATCGCGATTGGCCCCTTCGGCCGTCTTACATTGTACTTTTATCATTTATATTAATATTAACGCTGTCGACGATGTTGCGACGAACGGATGCCAATCCTTTACCGGATCTCTCACAGGAATACCAAAACCTGATATCCGGATATTCGACGGACAGCTCATTGGATATCTCGATCAACAATATGACGGATATCTCGACGGAAAATTCAACGGAGATTTCGCCTAACACCGACGTGTAATTCTCTTCAAATATTTTCTCATATATGATAAATAATCAATTTAGAGAACGATTTTATGCCCTGTTATAAATATTTTTTTCTCCTCTTTAGGTATGTAATAAAAGCTGTAGTTTACGAAATTGGAATTCTCACGGATATGGATAATTCAACGAATAGCGGAAGCACCGAAAGGTAACACGTTTTACATTGTTTGCTTTTATGCATTTCCGTTGAAAAAAAATTCATAACTTTCTACGAATGATAATTTTAACGTTACCTCTTTTTTTTTCGTGCCTTTTAGACAAGAGAGAGTAGATATATCGTTGTACGATACACCGCAGGAAGACGAGTTTTCCTAACTCCAATGAACTTTTTATTTTGAGAAGCAACAAAATACGATATCACACATCTAAACGCGTTTATGGATCGAAAAGAAGAAAAAGAGAATGTTAAACGTAAAGACTGCGCCATACACGACGACGATGTTATTAGTAGACGTGCATAGTAAATTATTATATATAATTACATATTATAAAGCAAAACGTAAAATTAACGAGGAGCGTGTAATGTATGCGATATATGTGCAGGCAATTTATAAATTTCGATATTAAATCTGTAATGCTGTGATACGTGCATTTTTTTAGGATTTAAAACAATATTTTATTAGTTTTTTTTTTTCATTTAATTATGAACAATATTTCGTGTACAACGCTATAAACACATTGCTGCTGCAAAACTTGCGAGGCAGAAGAAAGTCACGGAACAATCAGGTAACATAATTCGCAGAATGATCTCTCGGAGAATACGGGACATAAAACAACTCGATCGAAGCATGCGCGATACTTTGATATTAATTCTTGCAATTTAACGCTATTTACTTCTGGAAGATCTTGGCGAAAGACTTTAACGGTCGTTTAAAGGTACGTATAAATCTTTCCTTTCTCTTTGTTATTGGAATGCAAATAAGCGCGCGCAAATTCATCAAGAGCTCGATTAATACCATGTAATGTACAAATTTCGACTGGTTATTATGACCAAAAGGTAATAAAAATATTCTCGATTCTCTCTCCTCTCTTTTCTGCTCGTATCGCATCGTTGAACTAACGTACACTCAGTTAAACAATAGGCACTGCACCTAAGTACCTTTGCCTTATCGAAGGAATAAGCAAAAGCACCAGTTTGTGAAATACCGGTCTTATATAATATTGAACGGCGTTATAACTTTTTTCTTATACATATTTCTCTCGTCCGCTTTTTAAAATATAAACATGTAGTAAACGTCTCATTTCTGAAAAATCAATCAAGTGTCGCGAATGAAGCAAGCGGAAGCGAGATTTATTCAACGTTTCCTTTCTCTTTCTTTTTACTTAATTGTCTATGCAAATTGCGTGGCATAAAAATCATGACTTTGCAACCTATCTTTCCCACTCTTCGCATTCTTTTACTTTCTTCGCTAAAAATCAGTTACGTATAAATAACAATTTACGAAACTCTTAACAATAATCGTAAAATATAATGGGGTTTAGGATAAAGGGACTCGATTTTTACAGGTATACTTATAGATGTTGGCCATTCAGGAGGGGGGGGGGGTAAAAAGGGAGATGGGGGGGTGTGTATCTATATGTAATAAACATCAAATTATTCGCTAAGTATAGTTGAGCGTCGATCATTTTCAGTATTTCGGATTTATTCAAAGAGATACCCTGCAGTGGGACTATAGTGTGCCCAGCATTAACGTTTTCTTATTAAAGCATAATTAACGTGGTGTCTAATGAAAAATAGAGAAGGCGCAATATGCTTCCGATCGTTCGCGTACGACTCGATACTGATATGATTCTCTCTTCCTATTGCCATAGATCATCTAACATAGGCAAAGGGGAACGTTTCATTTAGATATTGGCAAGGAGTCAACGGTAGATGCACTTTCAGTAGATAAAGTAATGACTGGAGCTTGATGTTCGATTGATACTTTTTCATTCCCCATGTTCTCTTCCATCTCCTTTACGATTTCGATCTGCTCCGCTTGTTTAAGATCTCTAGAGAGAAAAAAAAACGATGCAAATTTTTCGCAAATTATATTCTAAATTTGATAAACTATTTAGATGACACTATATAAATACCTATTGACTGGTAACTCGCTAGAATCGACATTCGTGAAAATCGTTTTGTGCTCGTCACTTTTGCTGTCATTGAAATTAGTTCCCGTAATTGATGATTCCGTCCCGACTACTTGGCTATCTACGTTCTCTCTGCACTTTTCATTATCATCTCTAACACTTTTAGAGGCCACGTTCTTTTCCGTTAAATTTGTAGCCGTTGTTTCTGACGTTTTCTCTTTAATTTCGGACAGATTTTTATCATCCTTTACGTTGTTATCTATACTCAAGGTATTTTCAAAATTTTCAAAGTTTGCCCAGCCAGTAGATTCTACTGGCTCCGACGGTACTACATCCCACGGATTCACTGGCGGAAGTATGGTACCAGTGCTCAGCGGTTCGGCAGTGTCCCAAGCTGAAATTTTACAATAAAATAATAATTAGAGATTTTTTTGAAAAAAAGATCAAATGATAAAAAACCTTTGATAGATACATACGATCCGTTGTATCAACCTCCATATGCATATCGCGTGGGTCTTCGTCATCCTCGTCCGATGAACTAGAATCCTGATGTTGTTGCTTTGAATGCCAATCCCGTTTATCCACCACGGTCTGGAACGTAAGCTCGCCTTCATCTCCCCATTCTAGGCCGCTACCGCAATCCTCGAGTCCAGCTTTTTGTTTTTGTTGGCACAGCTTTAACATATAACATAACCAATCTCTTCTTCATCTCCATTTCAAATATAATACATTATTCCATAACAATTGAGTAGGTACCTTATTGAACATTTCTTCTCGTTTGTCGAGATCTTCTTCACTGAGAGTAAAGGCCAACGTTGTTAATTGGTCAACTGGATTACTATAATATCATATTTCTTAACGAAAACAGTGGGGAGAAATGATTATGACAGTACTAACGTCGCGCCTTTTTCACACGTGTCTTTCTTGGCTCTTGTAACTATGCGATTGCCCCCCATCCTAGTAGTGATAGTTTCTTTTTAAATAAAATCTCGCGTATATACTTACTGAAGCGCATCATCACCGTCATTAAATTCATCGTCATGAAATCCGAAGTTTTCGATGAACGGGGGCGTTATTTGTTGACCTTGATAATTGGAATACATCTAATACCAAGAATATCGCATGATGAATGAAGAACTAAATAATATGGGTTAATATCAATATTGTGCAAATGTAATCACTAACCTGTTGGATATATGCCTCTTGAGAGTAAGAGTTGTACTCGTCTGGATTTTCCTCGGAACTCATCAGGTACACTGGAGTTTGATCACCCTAAAGATATAATTAAGATTGTATATCGCATTTACTTCGCAGACGCTAAAGTGCATACTCCATTGTAACATACCATCATTACAGTTTGATGAATTTTATTAATTTCCACCAACTGTACACTCACAAGATTCTCCCATTTAGTAAGACACTCGGGTGATAAATTGTTTTTTAAGAAGCTGGCCAATATATTACTTTTCTCACATTGGGTGACAATATTGTTTGCAATATTTATCAGATGCCCCATGTAGCCTTGGCGAACGCCATTCTCCTTGTTTCTGCAATCGAATCTTAATGTTATAATTCTGAATTCTCTCTTGCAATATATGCGAAATATTCCGCGAAATTTAATACTTTGGCAATCTTACTGTTTACTTTCGTTTTTATCCCATGCTTCTAAGATTCTCTCTATTAATTTGCACTTGATAAATATCTGGAATTTAATGCGCTTGAATTATTCATTCATGTTTCGTGAATTTATTTCCATTTATATATAACAAGTTAAACTCACATTATTATAAATAATATCATTATCCCGATGTCCATAATTAATAGCTAAGGCCAGGCACTGTTGTACTTGCGTATGTAAGAAATTATTCCATGTATATTTGAAAAACAGATCCTGCAACACATTTAAAGTAAACATAAATCAAAAGCGTAAAGCAAAATAATAATGCAAAGCATTCAAAGATATTTGAAAATGTATATTCATACAATGCAATCTTACCAACAATGTTTGGAATGTTCCCAAATTTGCTAAACTTTCGTGGATCTTTAAATTCTCTGTCGATAATAACGCGCTTAACAATTTTGCTACATGCAAACGAGTGTTTCCTAATGGACATTCCAATAATCCAACAGTTGTTTTAACGGCAGGTTTCTGTAAACATATAACAATATAAAAATTTTGCAGTTCTTAAAATAGCATAAAATATCAAACTTTGACTTTTATATAGAAAACTGCATAAAGCAGTTCTTACATATGGTGGATCCAAAAGAAGTTTATGAAGATGTTCCAAATATGGCAAAGTAGCATTCGAGATTTTAATACGTTGTTCATTGTCTGTGGTGTCTTCTCCATTGCCATGTACATCTCCTTCATTTGATGCACTGTAACACAAATTCAGGCTATTATATACTGTGCTTTAACTATAAAATGTAATTAAGATATTATAAAATATTCTCGTCATACTTGCTAGTTTTTTGACCTAAAAGTACTAAAAGCACTTGTATTCCACCAACAATACTGGTTTCTACCTTTTCTACTGTTAAGATAGTTTCTAGCAATAGGCTCACAGTCTCTCCTCTGTAAAATATGTCATTATTTGTAAATATTCGCATGAAATGCGACAAATCATGGTAAAAATTTATAAAAAAATACTTACGATTCCAAAGTATTTAAAATAGGATCTGGATCAGTCCGTTCTGTAGATGTACGTTGAGTTTCTCTAGCTACCGTCACCATATCGCAAAGTAATTGTGCCGCGTTAGCATGTTTGGTTACTTCTGAAGTAGGTGCTAACAACTTTACCAGTCTTTGCACTAAATGTTGACTATCTAGCCACTATCAAAAAAGAACATACATATATATTATCAATAAGAACTGAATTATATAATTGTGACTAGATAAATAATGATAAAACAATAAAATAATTATAAATATATCTTACATTTAATATGTTTTGACGCATATCACTGCCCTCAACCTGAGTAACAAGTTTGAGTACTAAGTCCATAATAGCAGAAGTCTCTAAATGTTGCAACAATAGATCTACGCATCTCTGACGACTTTTAAGAAATTCTAAAACCTGTAAACATGTGAACTGATAGGAATACCAATTCTGGAATAGATGGAAATATATAGGATGGATAAATATGTAGGTAATATAGGAGAGGCAAGAAAAAGTTTATTATTTTTGATATTTCTTATTAATGTTGTGTTAAGTATCAGTCTCAACAAAATTTAGTTATAAATAAGTGTAATTGTTTATATTGTACAAATATGTGTGATTTGCACAAAGACTTATGTAATTACCTGATCACTTTTACGAGCGACAAGCACTCCAATGGTTTTACTGAAAAATGAGGCAAGTAGTGGATTTAATGGTTGATCTGTATCTATGAAAGAATATAATTTGGCCAAAAGTGCCTCATCACCTAAAAAAATTTCAAAACATATATCTGTAAAGTCTATAAGTTTATAAATATACTTCAACAATTAAATAATAATAGAGTTTCAAATACCTGCCAGTTTCTCATTCAACGTAGGCACATCACATGTGAGTAACTCGCAGGCAACATTGGGATACTTATAGCGCCAACGTTCTTCGATATCTGTAGATGGTTCTTTAGTGGTTAATGTAACCAATTCTTCCATAACAGCAGGCCTCGTGAGACTATCAATTATATATTACGATAAATTTTTTATCATAATAAAGATATTTAGCACACAATAAACGTTCAAAGCAAATTCAATTTGCAAAAAAAAATGGCAGTTTCACTCACTATTCGACCAGCTTTTTATTTTGACTCTTGCATTCTTGCAGGATGTCCTCCTCATCCATTAGCTCGTGCAACGTGACATCCTGTAATCGAGAAGCCGATTAGATACCTGATTAGATACATCTAACGATGACGACGCTTTGGAGGGAAGGGAGAGAGGGAAAGGAAAAAGTCGCGTGATTGTCCGCGAAGAAAAATCCCACAAAAAATAATTATTTACCTCTTTATTGAGCAATGCCTCGATATGCGGCGATGACACGTAATTATTTGTCCAGAACATGATGCAGCCCGTGGTGCGCGTGCTACCTCTGCGACTTCTAAATCTAAATATTGTATCGTGATTTATCGTGGCTCGGGACAATACTCCGACTCACATCGGCGTGGCGTTAGGACGCACGCACTGAGAAAGAAAAACGGTGTAAGTTTGCTCGGCCGACAAGCGGCTAACATCGCATGTAAGCGTATATCGGTTCCTGTCGATTCTCTTCCGCCGCGCCGCGCCGCGCCGCCCGCACCGCGCTGCGTCCGCGCGAATCACCGTCGTGTCCACACCACTGTCGTCACACACCACCTCCTCGTCACTCTCTCCCGGGGGTTCCTGCGGCCGCTCCGATCGCTTCCACGACGACGTATACGATTCGAGCGCGGACCGCTGCTGCCACCGCGAGATGATACACGATGATACACGACGATACCAAAACGATACAAGAATACAACGCGGTTGGACGCGGTTACATTGGACGCTCTCGATACCTCGGTGCTCGCTCGCTCACTCGCTCGCTCTTTCGCGCTCTCTCTCTCTCTC